GCACACCGGACGTGGAACGCAGCTAATTAGAGACAGTCGAACATACTTAGATTGAATTAACCTAATTTATCGTTCCACGCGATTTTCGCGCAATTATTTCACATCCCTGATATTAACTGATTTAAGAAGGAACTGCTCGTTCGTAGGAACATTAATTAGTAATTTGAAAATTCCCAACACGTGATGCACTGCGTAGAATCGTTGATGCGTCACAACGCATAAACGAAGCTAGCATTCATTTAATTCCCATTTAATTAGCACTCGATCACGAGGGATTACTGATCTTTCTACGAGTTAAATAGGGATTATTGCAATCTTCTTTGAGAAATGCGGCGCGGGACATACGAGCAGTGCAAGAACGCTGCCAAGACCAGTGGAAACTGGCAACATATGCTCAGACAGGGTCGCCGCGAACGCGACCCGTATATATTAGAGACGACATCGGTGTTTTCCGGCGAGCTGGTTAACCGCACTCGTTAAACGCCCCATAACGCACCGGCTCCATAACATCCGCGACGCGCTGTTCGTCGAATTACAACGTTTACGCGCCTGGAATTACTCTTTTTCATTCCTCCCCCGTACGAATCTCGAAAACCGTTCTCAAAAATCAATACCGTCACGATATGGAAAAACATTTCTTGATCATTTAAAAATGGTGAAAATATCCGCGATGTTGTTCATCGAATTACAACGTTTACGCGCCTCGAGTTACTGAATTTCATTTTTCACCTATCGAGGCTCGAATACCGTTCCCAAAAAATTAATATGAAACGCTACGATCTGAAAAAGATTTTCGGTCAATTTTATATAATAATAACAGGATTATATTGTTCCTCCCGTTTTGAAGCTTGCGAAGCGCAGGAACCATCCCCCAAAAATAATCCCTACAAAACATCTCGATCGAAAGAATTCCACAAAGGTGTGAACATTATTGCTTCTTGAAAGAGTCGCATAAAGCTAAAGTAATTTAGTTATCGACGCAAAAATGCGAAGTTCGAATCCATTGGGTCGTTCGGAAAGTTGTTTCGTTCACGAGGAAATGAGAGATTAACCTTTTAGGCACGACGCGCCACTATAGTGGCTTCCTCGGATGTCATCTTTCAGAACGACGCGCCACTATAGTGGCTTTCGCGGACGTCATCTCTCTGAACGATGCGCCACTATAGTGGCTTACTCTAGTAGCTCACTCGCTCATCGTTTGAATCAAACAATCGTCTTCATATGCATTGTTTCACTCTTCTTTTGTCTTCGCATCGATTTACAACAGTCTTAACGATATACAGACACAGAATATACAGTATCAGACTTTGTACAGTACATATCAGACTCTGCCGTCCAGAGAAATAGCCTCGCGCAGAATTCAGCCGTACCTAAAAGGTTATGTTTGAATTTTCAGAGTAAGAAAAGAAGTGTTTTCGAATCAGAAATTGTTCTGGAAAACGAGACAACTTTCCGGAGTATTCAATACCACAGTTGTTACTCCATCTTAGTCCCATAGATTCCAACGAAATTCAGTTTCGAAAATAGGATGACAAAAATTAATGTTTAACGACAAAAGATAGCCAGCCACCGCGTTAAATACTCGTAGGTCGTAGAGAAATATTGTCGAATGAATGTTGAAGACATGAATAATACCAACATTGTAGACGCTCGATTCCCTGCAACCGAGTGTTAATTTAAAAGGTATTGGTGGAATCAAACGGCATTTTACGTTACGCGTGAAAGGAACGAGCGGCGCTCAACAACAAAACGGGAGATCGATACGGCGAATCGGTCTGCTAGCGGCTGAGCGGTTCGAAAGACTAGCTCAACAGCTCATAAAAGGGCGGCCGCGGGAAATATATATCGACATTGAAAAGTTTGTCGAACAAGCCCGGCGACATGTTGCTCGGATAGCACCATAACTTAACGCCGGCGTCGATATGGGAGACGATCTGCCGCGTTTCTCCCCCTCCCGGTTTCCGTTCTCCCGATTCTGTTCACATTTCAGCCTCGTCCCTTCATAAGGTACACCTACGGCTGTGCGAACTTAAGAGCAGCCCGACGTAGTATTTTTGCGCGCGGTGAAACGATAAAAATGTGTCGGACCGATTTACAGGCCGCCCTCGACAAATGCCACGTGGAACTTCGGCTACAGGGGTTACCGGGAGCAGAAAAAATATAAGAACAGGAAAAGGATCACCGGAACGGCGGAGATTAACGGCCGACCCGGCAACTATACGANACGTCATCTCTCTGAACGATGCGCCACTATAGTGGCTTACTCTAGTAGCTCACTCGCTCATCGTTTGAATCAAACAATCGTCTTCATATGCATTGTTTCACTCTTCTTTTGTCTTCGCATCGATTTACAACAGTCTTAACGATATACAGACACAGAATATACAGTATCAGACTTTGTACAGTACATATCAGACTCTGCCGTCCAGAGAAATAGCCTCGCGCAGAATTCAGCCGTACCTAAAAGGTTATGTTTGAATTTTCAGAGTAAGAAAAGAAGTGTTTTCGAATCAGAAATTGTTCTGGAAAACGAGACAACTTTCCGGAGTATTCAATACCACAGTTGTTACTCCATCTTAGTCCCATAGATTCCAACGAAATTCAGTTTCGAAAATAGGATGACAAAAATTAATGTTTAACGACAAAAGATAGCCAGCCACCGCGTTAAATACTCGTAGGTCGTAGAGAAATATTGTCGAATGAATGTTGAAGACATGAATAATACCAACATTGTAGACGCTCGATTCCCTGCAACCGAGTGTTAATTTAAAAGGTATTGGTGGAATCAAACGGCATTTTACGTTACGCGTGAAAGGAACGAGCGGCGCTCAACAACAAAACGGGAGATCGATACGGCGAATCGGTCTGCTAGCGGCTGAGCGGTTCGAAAGACTAGCTCAACAGCTCATAAAAGGGCGGCCGCGGGAAATATATATCGACATTGAAAAGTTTGTCGAACAAGCCCGGCGACATGTTGCTCGGATAGCACCATAACTTAACGCCGGCGTCGATATGGGAGACGATCTGCCGCGTTTCTCCCCCTCCCGGTTTCCGTTCTCCCGATTCTGTTCACATTTCAGCCTCGTCCCTTCATAAGGTACACCTACGGCTGTGCGAACTTAAGAGCAGCCCGACGTAGTATTTTTGCGCGCGGTGAAACGATAAAAATGTGTCGGACCGATTTACAGGCCGCCCTCGACAAATGCCACGTGGAACTTCGGCTACAGGGGTTACCGGGAGCAGAAAAAATATAAGAACAGGAAAAGGATCACCGGAACGGCGGAGATTAACGGCCGACCCGGCAACTATACGACAGCTGAGATTGCACGAGAGTCCCGAACTATGATCTTAAGCTGAGTAATAAAAACGGCGCAATGGATCTAGCCGAATACTTTTCCGAGTTAGTTAACCCTTCGTCGTGCCTAGCGCTCCATTGCGCTCGGAATCTTAATGTCTGCCGCCAAACTGTACACTCCGAAATGCTCTTGCTTTATTCGAATTGATATAATGGAATCTGTATTACGTACTGCGATTTAAACACTAGAATCAGATAAAAAATTATTCCAATGATAGATTATGTGGTTTATTATTCTCTTCGGTCGGGCATAAAGCTCCGCTCGGGCTCGATAAATTTAAGCGTGCTATCCCGTGGTCGTCCTATCCCAGCATTGTTACTTTAAATGGGAACAGAAAAGGGTTAAACACGCGACAGAATAATTTAATTGAACAATGATACACCAAATGCGAAAGCTTCTTGAAAAAATATTGCAGTAGGACTTGTTTCCCACTATGGTCTGAATCTTTTATGAAATTGTAGATATTAGAATTGTAGATAGAATATTTGTAGATATTTTTATAGATATAATATACATCGCGACTGGAAATGTTAGAAACTATATGTTCAATAGAATAATCTGCCAATAGCCAGCAGAATATTTATAGTGAAGAACTATAGTTGTCTAGTGTAGAAGAACTGTCAATTCCAGGTACAGAAAGGTATGATAGCAAAAATAGATCGATTCAAAATGATATAGCCTGATATTTTTCAAAGTATATATAATAAGTATAATGGATACAATAAGTTAACTTTGATAGTGATTTATTAGCAAAATAATCGTTGCAAATGCTAGGAGATAAGTTCTCTGTATCATGTGATCACTACATCTAAAAAGTTACAAAATTATAACTGTCAAATCATCTAGCAGCATTACATTTGTAGCAAGAGACAGTACAAAAAAGTAAGCAATCGTTTCTGATTGCTTATGAATTGTTCTGTAATTGAAGATATCCATACATCAATGCACCATATATAGGTGATTAGTGAACAACAGAAAAGATTTTTTACTTACTTAAAAGTGGGTTTTGCTCTGAGCATCAAATTCAAGCCAGTAATTACATCAGAAGTTGCTCCAAACGATAGCAAATTTAACCCTTTGCACTCGAGTGGCGACTCTGAGGCACCATTAGAATTGATGATGTCACGTTCTAAAATAATTTTTACATAAGCAAAGTTTACAAAAAGCGTAACCGTTGTACGAGTCACAAGAGTCAATTTCACATGCACAAGATGCACTTTTTCATGTGAAATAAAAATAGTATATATATATATATATAAGTCAGAAGAATTATTTTAGATTTACGGTTGAAATAGCTTCGAGTGCAAAGGGTTAAGAATTGAAATTGTGAAATTACGTTTTTCTCTATGTTAATTATCAATGATTTACATCTACTACATACAATACCGTATATTTTAATTAAAATAGGCTCCAAGATCAGATTAGGATCAATTAACTTCAATATCTGGGTCTACTATTGTAGGTAACAATTACACATTACGTTCTAAACATTACATTGATCAAATCCGAAATGCATTCGCATTACATGAATACTATCAAATATTTTGTGCATGTACAATTATTAATAAAAAGTGAAAGTGGATTAGGATTGTAGCTCGTTGCTCTTACAATAATTGTATACCTTTGATGAAAACCGATCCTCGACAAACTAATTCGCCCAATTTCCAACCGTCACGTCGACGATGCATTATCGTCCACATAAAAAAGATATCGACATACTGCAACAGATTAATATTCCAAATAGCAACACAATAAATCCTCGATTAACTGGCTCGACATTATCAGAATCCTCTATTGTCCAAGTATATATCACATGCAATCAGTTCAATCTAAGACGATTCATATGCAAAACGATTTACTATTTACAAATCAAGAAAGATAAAACCTGGCATTGTGATTAAGTAACCGAGGTTCCACTACGTATCAAGTGATGCAGGCATGTCTTACAACTATTCCATTGCATCCGGTCTTAATAATCCTGTATTCGCACTCTTCAAAAGGTATAAGTAGCACGCTCGATCAAAATTTCTCGTCCATGGCAGTATCGGCTTCCTTTTCACCGGTGTTTCCACGATAACACGCTTCACTAATAACCTGGATTATGTAAGAAAAAGGTGTTTCCGTTACAAAGAAACAAGAATTCGTTCGGCCGCCTTACTGTCCGAACAGTCGAACAAATTTCTGACCAGCTTACTCGGTAGAACCGGATCGAAGCCGAGCGTAGAATTCAGCCAGTTCGAGTAGAGAGTGCATCCACACCGTCAAAGTTCATCGAAGACGACAAGCGAAGCGACGATCGGCTGAAACGAGTTCACCGTGGAGCATTCTAGCTACGTACAGCCCTGGCAACGGTTGTAGGCTGGGGTCGGTGCAATTAAGGGTATTAATTAGCGGGTACTTCATACCCCCTCGCTCCTCTCCCGGCCAAGCCCGCCCGCCCCGTTCCCCTTTCCCGGACCGAGCCCTCCCGGCCCCCGTGCCCCTGCCCCATCCGCACCCGTCCTCCACCGGCTTTCCTGTACGTCGACCGACCCTCTTCTCTGCACCCCTCCTCGTACCGCTAAAGTGCACCGCACCGCACCACTGACAGAGCAATACGGACAAGAGGTATATAGCTAATTACATGATTTTATGGCGGTGTCCGGGGAGTGGGGTGGAAAGGACGACGGTGGGGGGCAGCTGGGGGGGACGATTGTGGGGGTGTGGAGCGGTGGCGGCACAGGAACACTCAGAGACGCTCATGACGTCAGTGGCGAGCGGCGCAAACCGAGCTTCCGGCGCGGCGTCGGGGTAGAATCGAATAGGGTAGAAGGGTTGTTGCGGAATTTCTTTCCCCTCCCTCCTCCTCCTGCTCATTTTCCTTTTTTGTTTAACCCTACCCCCTGGTTTCCCCATCTTTTTGCTCTCTTTCTCGCCGGGCTTTCTCTTTCCGTGACGCGAGAGAGTCGGCAGCGTCGGTGTACTTTGTTAATTGAGACACGCATTTGATTCTTCGGCGCGCGCGCGCCTGTGATGTCGGGACCGCCGCCGTCGCCGTCGCCGCCGCCGCCGCGGCGCGGAAAAACGGTATCGCTCGATGAAAGCGGCTCGCTGCCGGTAATTACGGGTACCAATGTTCCCGTCTGTAACGGCCGCTTCTGTGCGCCCGACGACGCAGCACAACCGTTTCTTAAAAGTCTGCTAGACATAGTTCTCGCTAGATAGTGTAGCGGAGCCGATTACTGTGGGACGGCCAATTGCTGTTCCTCTGGTTCGTTTTTAGACGGAGAACATAAATTAAATCTTTTTGTCCTTTAGTTCTGTTCATTTTTGGATAGAAAAGTTTAATATACTTCGTTCAGTAAATATCAAGTTGATTATACCCGAAAATAAACCAAAGGCACGGTAATTGGTCACCGCACAGTAACTGGCACCACCGCCCCGCGAAAGCCGATGGGACGAATTAATCGAAGATGACCGCGCGGCGAGTGTAGTAACTGGTTCAGCCAACTCGTGCCGAAGGAGACGAGCGATCTCGTCGCGATGTCGTGGCCGCCATCCATCGGTATCCGTCGGATGAGCCCGCAAAGCCGCGATCAGGCCACGGCACATTGGGGATGAGTTAGATATTCATGTATTTAAATTTATTTATTGGCAGGATTTTTGCTCTCCCGAGAGTGTCGCCGGGAGGAGGGGGGGGATCGTCGGCCTTCCCCTAGTCTCCCCTGGCCGCCCATCTTACAGCCGACTGTTAAAACCTTTGCCGCTCGACAAGCCCTTCTGGGTAATTTTCCCGCTTAAAGAGATCTCGGCCAATTACGCGGCCTGTCCGACGGGCGTTGAATTTTAATTGGAAAAGAGGAAAGTAGAAATCCTCCTTGCCGGCTCTATCGGCGCAACCATGGCCCCGGTCTCTTAGCAGTGTGGGTGGAGGAACGCTTCCCACGCGCGCCGACACCGTTTGCTTCCCGTGTAGAACCGATTCGACGGTGTACACGATCCTGGAGGAACTCCGGCGCGACGGAACGCGGAACAGGAATTCCGAGGATCCCGTGTCCCCGCCAGCTCTTTCCCAGCATTACCGGGAATTCCAAATGAGAGGACTTCGCTGAGCTGACCCGTGCCGGCCGACCGGCCGTTAAGTTTCGCGATTAATCGCCGCGCGCTGAATATTTTACGCAAATCGCGGTATTAGCTATTCAGAGTTATTAGCGTGGGGATTTCATTCATTTTTGTTGGCCCCTATGTTTCTTGGAACGGATTGGCTGGCTCGCGTCGCATCCCGTTTTAAACGGATTAGAACCATTTAGATAAACGGTAGCCGCTCTAATTTTTATCGTTCGATGCGGTTTCTACCTTTGTGGTTCAAAGCGTTTCCTCCCACCAAGTTATTTCAGAATTTGCTACAATATTTTTACGATGCTCGTTGCCGCCTGTGGTGGACAGACATCGAAAAATTGTTGCTCGATATCGAACCAATTGTTCGCTGATATCGTCAATCGACAAACAATTGTTACGAATCCCGACAAAATTGTTACGATTAAATGAACATCTGAAACTAATTATTAGAAAACCAGCTCATTTGTTCAATATACATTGTTATTTGTTGACGAGTATTAAAGAGTGTTTGTCGTACCCTAAATGTGGAGAATTCGAACAAAAGCATGAATAATTTTTATTTACGATTAAGAGAATTTACAATTTACGACTAAAAATGTTCCGCAGTTTGTTATTATTCTGTACTAAAACTATATTGTAATGGCTACATAATTTTTTGCAACAAACTGCTACATGAATGTTATCTATCCTTACGGATGAAAAAGGAAATCCAATCAAGAATTTCTGACGATCTGCAAATCGTCATAAGTGAATCTGACAATACCGAAATAGAAAATATTGAATCAGATTAATTGCAACATATTTGTAAAATTTCATTACTAATTTTATATTTTACAAATATATATCAACATTCGGATATTTATGAATGTATTCTGATTTTTGTCCACTGTGCGATAATGTGCAATGATAATAGTAATGAAGTTTCCTTCCCCAGCGATTTGAAATGGAGAACCAAGAGAAGTCGACTTCCAAATCGAGATCCTAGTTTTCGGTCAACAATACTTGTTGCCAAAAAGATGATCAGCAGATCGATGATAGCCGTAAAAGAAAACACACATATAAATAATTCGATATTCGGTTAGATTTATAGTTAATTATGAATACAAAACTTAATGTGATAGTTCTTCTATGATTTAATAAATAAATGTGTTCACCGACAAGGAGGTCCAGAAACGTTCACAATATCAGAGAAAATCGTAACAATATTATACAATAATTCCGTCGTATTCTCGTTTGTGACTTTAATGAAAATAATGTAAACCGGTAAAATAGATATTATTAGATATTGTAGATATTATTATTAATGCAACAATCAATGTGTCGAGACTGGCCCGATATAGAACCGAGAAATGCTAATAGTTTGGTAACTGATATTATGTCTGAATCTTATATGGTTTGCAAACGTTTGCGTATTTGTGCTGGGTAACTATAGTGGTCTCTGAAGACCGATACGCTTTTCTTTAAACATTTCCGACCGAAGCTATGAAACAGTACGTACAGAAAAGCATATAAATATTCCGAAGAAAAATTTGAAATCAGTGCTTTTTGTGAAACAAAATAGATAGATCAAACACTTTATTATTATATAAGAAACATTACGAAACTGACTTCTATATTATTTGGTTGAAATATAAAAACTGCATTTTAATGCTGGACATCTTGTGGACCAATTTTTAATCAATTTCGGGAACGTTTCAATTCACGGGAATAAATTTTATAGAACAATAATAAAGAATAATAATAGCGTAAATGGAATAGAATAGCGAATAGAATAATAGCGAATGGAATAATAGCGTAATAAATGGTTTACGAATCGGACGTCATAGTAATTATGTTATTTCTAACAACGTAACAGGAGAACGTGCCAAAAAAGTGAATTGGTATTAAATCAAGAATGTACTAAATTAAAAAGACCTAAATGTAACTAGTACTTCAAATTATTATTTGTGACATTGTCCATTCACATTGTCCATAATATCAGTATCGCCGAAAAAAAGGAGAAGCTTATAAAAGAAATTGAAGTATTCAAATTGCAATTTTATTGTATAACTAGATTTTTGGTCGTGTCTAAATATTTTGCATCCAATGCATTTCCGTCTCAAACATTTCTTTATTGAACAACAAACGACTGAAATATCATGGCAACCGAATAACCAATACAATATCGCGCGAGAAAAGGAAAACCAATTTAAATCAACTGTATAATTGAAATGAACGTCGAGCTCAGGAACGATTTTAAAATGGATTCGGTCGGAGCAAGGCACGGGTGCTGCCACGTCGCGGAGGAACAATAAACCATCTAGCCACCCCCTCACCACCCCCGTAATCAATTTCCTAAAGTATCCACATACGATCACGATCTTCCTTAGAAGAAACTGGCTTGTTTCTTAGCTGAGCAAACCCGTTATCCTCTCTATCGATCACGCGGATAATCAATTAAAAAGAAATCGACTCAAGAATTCCGTCGATTGAATTGTCGCGAGCCGACTAGCTCAAGAAAATCTTTCGAAATCCGAACCGTTTTTTTTTTTGCGGAGTCCGGCAATATCAACACGATTATTTTCACTCCATCGTTTTCTCCCGCTTCTGGTGCATCATTCTTTCGTACTCGCTACGCAAACAGAGAAGGGTTTATGACCGGAAACGCGTGCGTCCGTGCGCCACCCTATATTACGAAAGTTTTTCGACGCTCTCTCGTCGACTCGCGCGAGTACGTGCGAAAGCGATCGCGCGTTCTCCCCGGCGCGTGGGCTAATAAGTATCGAGAAACACGGGGTCGAAGTAACTTTTAAGAACTCCGAGACCTGCGAAAAAGAGGGGCGTGAGAGCGGGGCTGGGTTTCCAGGTTTCCTCAGGGTTACAACTCGGCGGGGCTCGCAGAGGGGTGAGGAACAGCGGCAAGGCGGCAGTACTTTATGAACACGCTTCACATAAATTGTCGTAGCTCTTTAAGAAATTGGAAAAAGGCGCGAGATCCTTGGTGGAACAGCTTGCGTCGAGAGTGGCTCGAGAACTTTTTGAACTGTTGTAGGACACCGAGCAGAAGGGAAAGCGAAAGAGGAATGAGGGATGCTCGCGTGTATCTGTATGCATGTTTCTGTGTGTGAGCACGTTGTACGTGCGCTGACGTGCCCTTCGAAAGAATCTGTATAGCAGACTGAAAAGACAGAGAGTGAGAGAAACAGGGGGTTTGAAACGAGAGAATAAAAAGTGACAAGGT